GGCCTGATGAGATCTTAAAGAGAGGGTTTGTTCAGTATCAGTGGCTATTCGCTACAACAAGGTGACTGAGATGTCAGTAGGGGAGCACTTTTGGGGCCAGTGACCATAATTCTATTAGTTTTAAAATAGTGATGGAAAAGGATAGACCGGATCTAAAAGTTTAAGTTCTAAATTAGAGGAAGGCCAATTTTGACAGTATTAGACAAGAACTTTCAAAGGTTGATTGGGGGCAGATGTTTGGAAGTAAAGGATCGGCTAGAAAAAGTGAAGCCTTTAAAAATGAGATCATGAGAGTCCAGAGACAGTATGTTCCTGTTAGGGTGAAGGGTAAGGCTGGTAGGTGTAGGGAATGCTGGATGACTGGAGAAATTGAGGTTTTGGTCAAGAATAAGAAGGAAGCATATGTCAGGTATAGACAGCTGGGATCAAGTGAATCCCTAGAAGACTATAAAGGCAGTAGGAGTATACTTAAGAGGGAACTCAGGAGGGCCAAAAGGGAACATGAGATAGCTTTTTCAAATAGGGTTAAGGAGAATCCAGCGGGATTCTACAAATACATTAAGGACAAAAGAGTAACTAGGTAGAGAACAGGGTCACTTAAAGATCAGCAAGGCTGCCTATCTGTGAAGCCACAGAAGATGGAAGAGATATAAATGAGTATTTTGTGTCAGTATTTACTGTGGAGAAGGATATGGACGATAGAGAACATGGGGAAATAAATAGCGACGTCCTGAAAAATGTCCATATTACAGAGGAGGTGGTGCTGGATGTCTTTATAGGTGGATAAATCCCCGGGACCTGATCAGGTGTACCTTACAACTGTGTAGGAAGCTAGGGAAGTGACTGCTGGGCCCCTTGCTGAGACATTTGTATCATCGATAGCCATAGGCGAGGTGCCGGAAGACTGGAGGTTGGCTAATGCAATGCCACTATTTAAGAAAGGTGCTATGAAAAAGCCAGGGAACTATAGACCGGTGAGCCTGACATCAGTGGTGGGCAAGTTGTTGGAGGGAATCCTGAGAGACAGGATTTACATGTATTTGGAGAGGCAAGGACTGATTAGGGATAGTCGACGTTGCTTTGTGTGTGGGAAATCGTGTCTCACTAATTTAGTTGACTTTTTCGAAGAAGTAACGAAGAGGATTGATGAGGGCAGAGTGGTGGATGTGATCTACATGGATTTCAATAAGGCATTTCACAAGGTTCCTCGTGGTTGACTGGTTGGCAAGGTTAGATCACGTGGAATACGGGGAGAACTAGCCATTTGGATACAGAACCGGCTTGAAGGTAGATGACAGTGGATGGTGGTGGAGGGTTGCTTTTCAGACTGGAGGCCTTTGACCAGCGGTATGCCCCCAGGATTGGTGCTGGGTACGGAGTTTTTCATCATTTAAGTAAGTGATTTGGATATAAATATGGTAGATACGGTTAATAAGGTCGCAAATGACACTAAAATTGGAGGTGTAGTGGACAGCGAAGAAGGTTACCTCCGAGTACAACAGGACCTTGGTCAGATGGGCCAATGGGCTGAGGAGTGGCAGATGGAGTTTAATTTAGATAAATGTGAGGTGTTACATTTTGGGAAAGCAAATCATGGCGGGAGTTCTACACATAATGGTAAGGTCCTGGAGAGTGTTGCTGAACAAAGACACCTTGGAGTGCAGGTTCCTTGAAAGTGGAGTCGCAGGTGGACAGGATAGTGAAGAAAGGTGTTTGGTATGGAACAAAAACAGAAGTTTCTGGAAGCTCAGCAGATCTAGCAGCATCTGTGAAGAAGAAAATCAAAGTTAGCGTTTTGGGACGGGTGTTCTGAGGAAGGGCCACTGGACCTGAAATGTTAACTCTGATTTTTTTCTTCACAGATGCTGCCAGACCTGCTGAGCTTCCAGCAACTTCTGCTTTTGTTCCTGATTTACAACATCTGCAGTTCTTTTTTTTTTAAGGTGCTTGGTATGCTTGTTTTATTGGAAAGTGCATTGGGTATAGGAGTAGGGAGGTCATGTTGCAGCTATACAGGACATTGGCTAGGCCACTATTAGAAAAATGCATGCAATCCTGGTCTCGCTATTGTAGGAAGGATGTTGTGAAACTTGAAAGGGTTCAGAAAAGATTTACAAGGATGTTGCCAGGGTTGGAGCGTTTGAGCTGTAGGGGGAGGCTGAAAAGGCTGGTGCAATTTTCCTTGGAGCATCGGAGGCTGAGGGGTGACCTTCTCGAGGTTTATAAGGTGAGACGGGAAAGATTTAAAAGGGAGCTAAGGGGCAACTTTTTTCACGCAGAGAATATTGCGAGTATCGAGGTGGCGAAGGCTGGTTCAGTTAACAGCATTTAAAAGGCATCTGGATGCGTATATGAATAGGAAGGGTTTAGAGGGATATGGGCCAAATGCTGGCAAATGGGAATAGATTAATTTAAGATATCTGATTGGCATGGCTAAGTTGGACCGAAGGGTCTCTTTCTGTGTTGTACAACTCTATGACTGTAACAGCTCCCAACAAGCTTAAAATAGGTTTGCATCCAAAATGCGGTTGCATTGAATTTTGGAACAAAAAGAAAATATGTTTTATTGTGTGTTCGTCCCCTTGCAGAGCGCATTGTGAGAGACAATTGCAGTTGTGCATCCAGATATCTGTTTATTTCCACTCTTCCTTTTCCCTTTGCAACTGCATTGTCGGTGGACCTGTGCAGATGAATCATGGTGGCCATTTTAATGGTGGAGACCTAACTCGGCACTAGTAATACACACCCCGACTTTAAATAACATTCTGATCTTTCAGAAGTGCTATAATTGAGTTTAATTCTTTCACAATGGAAATGTGGTGATCTGAAACACATATTTTGTTATACGAACGAAATCTAGTTCTGAAAATAGGTCATAAATGAGACTTTTAAAACATTATCTGTAATAAGACTTGACTATTGAACAAACTTATTTATTCCAATTCAATTAAGTATGGTTATTCGTACAAAGCACTTCAAAAACAAAATGCTGAAAATGCATAGCTGGAAGGTAGCATCTGTGAAAAGAAAAACAATGTTAACACTAGAGATCAGTAACTTTTTGTCAGAACTGTTTGTGAGGAAGTGAAAGAGAGAGGTGACTGTTAGGAAAGGTTGATTCTGGTGCTAAGGCACAATGCACTCAAAGCCAAAAGAAATGATGATGAAAGAGAAAAGGAGATAGTTGTGGAAGAAATGTAAATTGGAACAGCAGAACCAGCACCAACAGCTGTCATCCTAAACAATGGGGGCATCTGATCTGGGATGTTGAACATAGATTCCACACATTGACTATTATAGAGTCATACAGCATGGAAACAGGCCCTTTGGCCCAACTCCACCATGCTGACCAGGTTTCCTAAATTGAACTAGTCCCAATTTACTGTGTTTGGCTGACATCCCTCTAAACTTTTCCTATCCAGGTGTCTTTTAAATGTTGTAATTGTACTCGCCTCTACCTTTTCCTCTGGCAGCTCGTTTCATTTACACACCACCC